CAATGGGATCAGGATTATCAAACCAACAATAAAGGCATTAAGGATCACATATCATCATCTCCGTCGTCCACAAACAGATCATCAAGCAGATGACATGACACATGGCAGGATGTGCATGCTTCCTTAACAAGAAAGATAAAAATGATGCAATTTAGTGCTCGTCTCTTGCTGTCAAAGCCCACAATGGCTCGCGCTAATGGGAATTAATCGTCCGAAATGGGTTAATTGATCGTCTCAACCAGCCAGCATCGACCGTCTAACTTGCGGCTTTGACAAATATAAGTTGATTTAAATAAAGATGATCATATCTAGCTCTAGCCAAAAATTCTTCCAACTATATATATATAGATACATCCGTACCAAGGTTTCGTCAGAGTTCATGGCAAAAATAACTATGGAAGCTGAGAGAAGAAACATAAAATTGAGTGGGACAGTGATGCTTCTGATCCTCTTGATAATAACCGACCAAGGCTTAATTGGGAGTTGTAGATCCTTGCAAGCTCAAAGGCCAAGTGACAAAGGGGTTTCACAACGTGGTCCTGAATCGCCGTCTGGGCCATCTAATTGCACTTACACACTTGGCAGTGGTCACAATAGCGGTGGATCTTGTAAAAGTCATGGGTGATGCTTATTTTTCATGTTTATTTTTCATGTTTATTCTGTTTTATCAATTTCAAGGTTCTCTTGTGCTTGCTGGGGAAAAATAAAATTCAAGCAATTGTTGTAGATATTTGCTTGAAGTTTGAAGTAGAATGTTGTATATAGTTTTTTTTCTCTTTTCTTTTTTTGGTAATTAGTAGACTGCTATAGCCTATAGTCATGTCCAATGCTGCAAGTGCCAAATCCCAATCATTTGTGATGCAATAAAATTTTAATGTTCCCCAATTAAAAAAAGAAGGGCATATCATTTTTCACTTTTGGCAAATAGCCGCTAGTTCAATTAAATTAATCGTACATAAATTTTCTTTTGAAAAGATGGCAATTGGTAGAAAGTTCAAGCTGGAGTCATTCTGTCATTGTCTAGCCAATACCTTTGTACTAAAAGTTCTAGGTGCCATCACTCAAGATCTTTATATCCCCTAGGACGTGGTTGACATTCTCCATAAAAATTTGTTATTATTCCATGTGCCATCTATTTTGCGATTGGATGTGAACGGTCTCCAATTTCAGCATGTTCACATCTGAATGTGACTGAGGTAAAAAAATTTAAAGAGAAGTAAATTTGAGTCCAAGTCAGTTCGGCAGCTGAGGCCCCCACTGAGATTCTCCAGACCAGACCATTTTGGGTGCGTTCTGGTGCGGTCTTACTCAACTCTTATTGACTCATAATTCATGAGCATATAAACAATATGATGAGTCCGGTCCTATCCTGTCCTATCTCTGACACTGATGTACGCCATTCACTTCTCAATGACTAACGAACTGATTTGTCTACTCTGTTTCTGTTGTTGACTGAAAAACTTTTTTGAGAAGTTGTCCGATAATTTTCCCATTAAAAATATTATGGAAAAAAAGGAAAATTTCTCGTCAGTGTCTGTCAAAGATTTCCGTCTCAATTGAGTGGAAAAATTAAAATTTATTTTAAAAACAGTAAGTGGAAATTTTATTGGCCAAATCATCTCTCTTTCCGATACTTATATTGTCAAATGGCCTTTTTCTCATTGTAAACCTTTCTAAATTTCTCTCTCACGTAACCAAATCCATTTTTCTCCTTTAATTTTGAGCATTATCAGATTTTGAGCATCATCGATGCCCCCACCTTGTTAGCCCCAAAGGGCCAACCAACTTTGTTGTCGGCTCCAAAAGGGAAAAAATATATGCTGCCCTTTTAGTTTGTTCTTTTTTGACTTAATTAGATTGGTTTTATGACGGTAATCTAAACATTTATTTTTTTCGCAAATTGAAAGATTGAATATGTGAGGTGAGCCGTATGCTGTGCGTCATACACTAAAATGGTAATTCACCTTATGAATTGTTAGCTCAGATAAGAATAAAGAAGCCTTGTGGACCGCCTGCCAAGTTTGACACTTTGACTATATGATCCCCAGTTCACGGGGCACGGTACGGCTTGCGCGTGGTTTATAGAAAAGATGGACCAAAAAGACATAAGCATCTGGCTTTGTAGGCCCCCGGCTAATAATTAGATTGAGATTTTCAAGGTGTACTTTTTATTAGTATGATAGTGATTTCAGAGTAAGAATAAATAAAATAAAATTTTAAAATTAATAATGTGATATGTGTGATATTATTAAATTAATTAATATATAATATTATAAATTTTTAAAAAATAAAAAAATTTAATTATTAAATTTTAATATTTTAAATAATATATTTTATATTACATAATTAATTTCAAATTTTCATTTTATTTGTCATTATTTTTCATTTAAATCTCCTCAATTTTTAAAATTTGTACTTATTAAAAAACGACAGCTTATAAATGTACTGGATCAAACTTACTTTACTTTTGACTGTGCGCTTCATCATGAGAATTTCAAACCCTCCTACATTATAAATGTCATGATTTGTCGCCATAAAAATAAAGCCATGATTTGTCTATCCAATTATAATATAATTAATGGTTCGTATATTTTTTACCCAAAAAAAAGTTTCACATACTGATAAAAATTTTAACTTATTATTAAAGTTAATAATTTAAATTTAAATTTATAATGTTATGTACTTAATTTTTAATATAAAAAAATTTCTAGTATATAAAAAGTGAAAATTTTGCTAAATTAAATTGTATTAAATGAACCGCAACCCACCGATACGATGCATTTCTTATATTAGTTTATTAGTCGAAACTTTTAACTTTATGTATAGTCATATAAATATATAATAGAACCATTAAAAAGAAAAACAATGACCTCATAAAGTTGAAAAAACATACACTCATCTAAGAAAGATATATTACTATAATATAACCTATAAGCATTAAGCTAATCTAATATAAATCAAGTCCTGTGACTCTTATTTTTATTTAATTAGGATATTTTATGATAAATTAATTTGTATACATAACATTCTTTTTTGACAAACTAATTTTTTATTGGACAGTCTTTTAACAGTAAACTCTTTTTAAGTCATAATCCGCCGCATTCAACGCAAGTTAAATTCTATACGGTGCTAATCTTGGAATTTTCTTTTTTTGATGTTCTAACTTTCTTGGGAATTAAGTATCATAAAGAATACTTAAAGTACTTCATATCTTCATTTTAAAAAGGAAATAATTTTCGTATAATTATTTTATTTTATTTTTTTGTATAATTTGACATGTCATTAAAATGATTGATTTTTTTAATTTATATGAGATTCATGATATTAAATGCATTCATTATATAAAAAAATTAAATTAAAAAATTATTCTTATAACACCACCTATTTAAAAATTATATATGGATCAATTAAACTCTTTAGGGTACCACCTATTAATTTTTTTTAGATATACTTGCTTTGAGGTAAGGTATCTAATTAGCAGTAGTATTTAGTAAAAGTAGGTGAAGAGGTCCTCAAATACCGTGTTTGAAAAGTGGGTTTAATCATTCTTTTTTTGTTTGTCATATCTCATGACACACACCTTGCTCATTTGATCCTTAATTAAAAATAATAGTAGGTACTTTATTCGTTGCACTTTTTCATATGGACTATTTATTTTGATATATAATTAATTAAGATAAGAAACATAACAAAATCAAAGATATATATATATATATATATATATATGTGTGTCAAGTTCAAATTTCAAAATTCTATCGATGCATACAATCAATCAAAATCGGCTTTTCTTAGCTCGGAATTTTAACCTACCTTCCTGGTACAAAAAGCAAAAGGCCGAATTACCCATTCTTTAGACAAAATCAACTAATCAAGCAGTAAGAAGTTAGAAGTGACCAATTAATGCAGCAAACCATGGATATGTATATATATATGTATATATATCGGAGTTCAAATCAAAACACCATATTTCAATAGCAAACAAGACAGTAATTATATATAAACACTTACCAGTCTTTTGATCTAAATCGAAACACCATATTTCAATAGCAAACAAGACAGTAATTATATATGAACACCTACCAGTCTTCCTCTCTCGCTCTTATTGGAGAACAAACCCATAGAATATTATTTCCTTCATCCTTTCCCAGCACTTTATTTCTTCAAATTGAAATCTTCTATGTCATCAGTGACCTTCAAAACACCCAAAAAAGAAAAAAAAAAAACATTTTGAATAGAAGACCGGTCAAGTTCGGAAAGAAATAGTAGAAAAGTTCAGGGGAAAACAAGTTACCGGAGAGAGGGTCGTTCGGCAACAAAGCCTCCACAATATCCAAGCAAGTTTGGGTCCACTCGCTCTCTTCCAGCGCGTGCCTTCTCTCTGCCCTCAGCTGGGTGAACCTCGCTTCCAGCTCTGTCAGTTCCACTCTGTCTTCCTCGTGGGAATTCTGAAGGAGTTTCATCTCTTTCTTCATATCTGCCAACTTCACGCGCCGAAAAGCGAACAACATGGTTCTCTTTCATTTGATTAAATACAAAAACCAGAAAGGAAAAAAAAAAAGTCAAGAAATTAATCAACCAAGAAAACTACTAGTATTAAATCCAGAGATTAATTAACTCCGGTGGATACCTGAAGATGCAGTTGCCTGAAAGTAACTCCGATGGGTACCTGAAAGTACATCGGTCTCCTACACAGGCGACGATGAGGTTTCTTTTCAATAGTCATGGCTGATGATTGGTGTATAAGATTTCTCTTTTCAAGGAATCGACGGAATTAAGGAAGCGTTTAGCAAGGAACGAGGCAGAGGATATGATTTAGGCAGGCAAAGGAATTTATAGAGGAATATGAGAAAGGAGAGAAAGGGATACGTTACGGGATCATCCCAAGTCCAACACATAAGAGCCCTTATCTCTTACATTGCCGCTAGGAACGCTCGATTCCTTTCGACAATCGCGCGATTTCCCTGTTTCTCTAGAAATTTTGGTCCTAAATTAGCTTTATAATCAATATTAATATTTCTGGTATGGAAAACTAGGGTTGTGGTTCGTCGACGACATGTTTGCTTTTAATTGGTTTTATTTTCCTCCTCATTGTGCATTTTATATATTTTTTTAATGATAGAAAATTTACTAAATGCGCATTTTAAAAATTTATTGAAGTGCAATTATATACCTATCTATTCTTTTTTTTTAGTAATTTTAGTTTATGAAATAAATAAAAACACTGCTTGTGTGTGGCTTTTACCGTCTTACATTCTCTAATTCCTTTACTTACAACACAATTAGCTTTTTTTTTTGGGTGAGTGATGCCAAAATTAGGTAATGTTGAGTATCAACCATGTGAAGTTTAATTTCGACTATCCATAAAAAAAAGCTTAATTTCTACCATACTACAGTGAGGTTTTATTAAAAATTAAAAAAATTTATGAAAGGATGATGTGGGAGACCCTGCAGATTCACCTCAATATCCTCCATTGTGTACTCCATTTAGTCCACTTAATTACAGTACTTTAATCAAAATTACTTTTATAAAAATAAAAATAAAAGGATATTATTCTTTTGGTCCAAGGATAATTTTGTTGATGATGGCATTTTATTAATCAAAATCATATATGAAGTGGAAACTGAAAATAAAAATGTAAAAAACGCACTCCATCAAAAAGATTGCTTTCACTTTTTACTCTCTGTTCGTCCAAATCTCCATCGTCCATTATGGGATTTATTACTTCACCCTTCCTATTTTGTCACTCACTCTAATTAAATATCTCATTATGTAACTCAAAATGAAAAATAATGATAATAATAATAAACTTTTAATATGAGTCATACACTATCAATGGATCTTATTCCCTTCCCATCTTTAGAGAGTTTGTTTAGATAAAAGTTAGTAAAGGGAAGAAAGGGAAGGGAAGGGGAAGTGAAGGAAAGAAAATGATTGATATTAATTTTGTTTGGAAAGATAAAAATAGAGGAAAGGAAGAGATAATATTTTTATTTAATTAAATAATTTAAAAAAATAAAATAAAATAAAATAAAAATTTTAAAATTCATTAACTAAAATAGTAATTGATATAAAATAAATTTATATATTTATTTTTTAAAAAAATAAATGTATAAAACCTATTCCCTTCAATTCTCTCGATTTCAAGGAATTAAAAGCAAAGAAGTGATAGAGGTTTTATTTTCCTTTCCTTCATTAAAATCAATAATCCAAACATGAGAAGAGGCATCTTCCCCTCCTCCTTTTCTTCCCCTCCAACGTCCCCATTCCATCCTATGGCTAAACCTTACAAAAGCATTGTCCCACATCAATTTGAGCAGCGAAATGCAAACACTGATGATGAATGATGATCAGAAGATACTTTCCTACAGGTTCTTATTGAAGTTTACTTACAGTTTACATTCATTTTTATTTGATTGAACCTCGAAGAATTTGTTGATTACATGTAATGAATTTCTCTAGAAATTGTGCTAGTATTTGATTAATATGTTGTATGACCTGAAACTGAAACGAAAAATCAAATTATTTGGGTAGCCAATTCAAATCTCCCAGGCAATTCGGTTCGAGATCTCAATGGATAATTGGAAATCAGATGGAAAATCAGTCCATTTTTTATCGCTATGGACTGACTCGACCCAACTCAATCTCCCTCACAGCTCATAGTCCGTTTGCTTTAAGAAAAATGGAGAGAAAGGGAGGATGGGTGTGACATTATTAATTTGAATCAATTAAATTAAACTGTTTTATTAATAAAATAATTTAAATAGTTGTAATAATTTTTGCTCCGCTCCCCCTTAAACAACTAAATAGACTACAAAATGATTATTTTCCTCTGTAATCCATATATTTAAACGCATGATTTTTTTATTTATCCATAGAAAGCAGGTCTCAACACATCCAGTAGTAGAAATACAATAAAGGGTGCATGAGAGACACATGGCAGGCAAAAGCCATGTCCCCCCCCTAATTAATTTGCAAGATGTTAGTTAGACAGAATCACGTTTGCTGGCAGCAAGGCGAAGCTGGGAGCCTAGATTTTGCTGGAGAAGGAGGCTGGTCTCCTGTCTCAGCTGAGCACACTCCGCTTGGATCTTTTCAAAGTGTTGTTTCGTTTCCCTTTGCCCTTGTCTTAATCTTGATTGCTCCTCGTCTATGGCTTCCATTTCTGACTGCAGCTCCTCCATCTTGGCCTCCAACCTCTTACTTGCTCTTCGTTCCTGCGCACATAACATATGATCAGAAACTAACCCCTGTATAAGAGAAGATGAAACAAATAGCATAAAACGCTGTTGACATACCTGATTCCTCATTTGATATCTCGGTCTAAAATTGATCGAGCTATCTCTCTCAATATATTATCTCCAAGGATTCTTGGTTGAGAACATGAGGCGGAACCAAAGTATATATGAAAGATAAAGTTGACTATATGTAAAAAGTTGTCTGTTGATAATTGATTGTTTAGATTGAACTTTGCTGATGACAAAAGTTTCAGGTTTGGATGTCGGACGATTAAAAAACGCGTCATCGTGCGGGTCGTTCGACTCTCCCTGCATTTTTTATTGGTTAAAAAATCAATTGGATCCCTAAACTTTAAAATTTTAGCAATATTATCCTTTAACTTCAAAAAATATCAAAATTATTTTTAAACTTTAATTTTCAACGTCAAAAAAGGTTCTTCAATTAATAAAAGTGTCACGACACAAAATTAGGTTTTTTTTTTTTTTGTAATTACTAATGATACATAAAATCAAATAATTATATTTTAATATTGTGACATATTTTTATTTATATATGCAATTAATATATAAATTAAAATTAAAAGACCAAATTAATGTTTGTAATTAAAATTTAAAAATTAAGTTGTTACTTATCTTTAAAATTTAAAGATTAAATTAATGTTATCTTCAAAATATGAGAACTATTTTAATATAAAATTTAAAAATTAAGAAACTAAATTAAAATAAGAGATTTTAAATTAAAATCACATAACATACGAGTGAAATGAGATAAATTATAAAAAATAATTATTTTTTATTATATAACAAATGAAAAAAAAAAAATATTTTAACTTTTTTTATTTCTCTTCTTTATATTGATCGATACGATGTGTCTTTCCTGTCAACATCATCGGCAGATCGGCGTGCGAGTTTCGTTCTATCGTCGGCCATGCGTTCGACTCTCGTTCGATTGTGGGCCATACGTTCGCCTTTCGTTCGACTGTGGGCCATTTCGTTATACTTTCGTTCGATTGTGGGCCATTTCTTAATTTCCAAGAAGTTTTCTCAACCTCACATAGATTACTATATAATCTCTTTCAACTAAATTACTAAAATGGATTCTTATACCCATTCCTTGAATTCAAGAGAGTAAAACGATCATTTTACCATTTTTTTCTAAGCAGACTGTTGACATTTCTGTTTTTATGTGTGTTACAGTGACCATATAAGGACGCAGAACCAGCACAAATGAGCTAGTAGATTCTATGGAGAGTTGTTGTTGCGTTTAAGTGGTTACTTGATGAGCAAGAGCTGCCCCGCCATGTTTGGTTATTAAAGTATTTCCCTTTTCATTTCTTTTCTTTCCCTTTTTTTTTTTTTTTTACCCTGAATATGTTTGGACTTTCACATTTTTCCTGCTCCGTAAAAATTAATGAGTTCTTGTAATGTCAAAATCGCTTTGCTTGTCTTTATCCCCAAAAAAAAAAAAAAAAATCGCTTAGCTTCTTCCACTGTTTTTATTTTTCCTTATTATTTTGGTTAAATACTAATTTGATCCCTCAACTTTAAAAAGTATCAAAAGTATTCTTAAACTTTAATTTTTAGTACAAAATAGTCCTTACACTTTAAAAAAATTGCCAATTTAGTCTTTAAACTTCGAAAACAAGTATTAGTTTAGGCTTTAAACTTTGATTACAAATACTAATTTAATTTTTTAACTTTGATTATATATCAATCTAATATATAAATAAAAATATATCACAATAGTAAGATGGTGATTATTTGATTTTATACATCATTAGTACTTTAAAAAAGAATTGATTTTGTAACAAAAAAATGAGTTATGTAATATTTCTATTAAAAGAAGGGCTTTTTAGTATTAAAAATTAAAGTTTAGAGATATTTTTTTTAAGTTGAGAGATAATTTTAGTGTAAATCTAAAAGTTGAGAGACTAAATTAATATTTTAACTTATTATTTTCTATTAAATGACTTGGATCATGGTGCAACGCACATTTTGTTGGATTTATTATAAATACAAAGTTTTTTATGAATTAAAAAAAATTGTATTCACCACCAACAAAATCATAATATTAGAACACAAGTTAGAATTAGATTATACAATCTCACGCTAGGCCGGAATGTACTACGGATTTCAATTTGATTGCAGGAAAATCAAGAGAAGGTTGAGGAATGCATATAGTGATGTGCTAGATAAATAAGAGGAATTTATAGAATTTAATTTAACTTAAAAATGGACTCTCAAGCTCCTGTAGTTTTAATGTTAATATAAGTAGATAAATTTAATGAAACAATTAATAAATTAAAATTTAATTTTTATATTTTTTTATATTTTTAATATAAATTTATAATAAAAATATATTTATTATATTTTTAACTTGTACTCCTAATCTTTAAAAGTATAAATTAAAAACATTTATAATAAATATCAATTGTTTTATTGATTAATGATTACATTTATGAATTGTTATTAACGGTTAAAAGAAATATAATTTGTGTGGTTTTAAAAAAAGATTACGTGACACTAATCGTGCCCGACTTTGTGCCAGTCTCTAGCTGTCAGAACCAATATCTAGCCAGGCACCAAGGTTACATTGGAGTTGACAAAAATGAAAGTTGGGAGAAGGACCATAAGGATGACTGGGAAAGTGGTGCTTCTGATTCTCTTGATAATTGCCAACCAAGTCTTGAATGTTGGTTGTAGCAGACGGTTGCAAGGGCAAATTAGGCTAAGTAACGGCACAGAGGTCTCGGAAGCAAGAGATCCTGGCTCGCCTTCTGGGCCATCTAATTGCACTTACGTGCCCGGTGGTGGTGGCAATAACGGTGGGCATCATTGTAAAATTCATGGGTGATGGTTGTTTTTTATTTTTATTCGATCTGTGTGGTTAATATATTTCAAGGTTCCCCTATGTTTGCTGGGAAAAATAAAATTCCAGCAATTGCTGTATATATTTGCTTGATGTTTGAAGGAGAATGCTATAGTTGTTTTCATTTCTTTTCTTTTTTTGGTAATTAGTACACTGTTATAATCATCTCCATTCTCCAGTACTGCAAGTGCCAAATCCCAATCATTTGTGATGCAATGATGTTCCTCAATTGAAAAAAGAGGCATATTACTGATAATATTGGATTTTCAACACACAATTTAAATAATTATCATTAATTATTAATGGATAACTTAAGTGATATGCAATAATTAATAGAATAATAACTTTTGAAATCAAACTATTTCGATGGTTGGTTATATATGAATTTCTATAGGACTCACAAATAGTTACCATAATTCATTCTATAGTTTGATGCTAAACATTAATCTTAACTATAATTATTTTAATTAATATCTTGTTTGAGATCAATCTATAAAAATATCTTTTCTAAACATTCTAATCAGCCTTTAAGGAGGCTGTCAGTATAAGATGTAGTAGTATTTTTCTTCCAATTAAATTATCTGAAATTATTTCAGAATTTTGTTTAAACTGAACGAAAATGGTTTTTAGACAATATTTAATTGTCTAATTTATCATTTATTTCGGATAAAAATTTGACCCATTCAAAATACTCTATCATAAAATAAATAGATAAATAAATATAACCTTTTTCCTAGTAATATTATCAACCCAACCATGACCATCAGCGATATGGTCATACTCATGCTTCAATTGATTGAGATTGATTTGGTCCCTTATATTTATGTCAGTTATCTAGCAATTTTGGGGACCGAGAAATAGATTGATCTTTCAAGTAAAATAGACTGATGTAGATAGATTGGTGGGGATTACACAGACCAGAACCTTTCTATAGTTAAAGTATACAATTAATGATTATGGTTTTTTTATATGATTGAAATTGTGCTTCTATGTTAAGTGTTAGATTAGTAGGTATACCATTGTATTATATTTTTTTACACTAATAGAATTTGATATGAATGGACAGAAACATCTCTAGTATTTTAAATTAATAAAATTAACTTTGGTTTATCAAAAAAAAAAATGATTGAGATCATGTTTAAGTTTATCAATCTTTGTTGCTAGAGCTCACAAAACTCGATTAATTTGTGTGTTTTCAACTTTTAAGGCTTCATTTTCACTCTTTAATACTATCTCTTTTAAGTAAATTATTCTATATTAAGAATTAAAAGATAGTTTATTTATTAAAAAAATGAGAAAATAATAATTAATTTAAGATAAATTTAAATTTAAAAAAACAATTATATTGAGACGGTGGCGGTGGGAGAGCTTCGTTTCTTCCTTGGTTGCCTTTGAGTTGACAAAATTGGAAGTTCAGAGGGAAGAAACATAAAGAATAAACAGAGAAATGGTGCCTCTGACAATCTTAAACAATCAATTGTTTGCAACAAAGTGGGCCATGCGAAGACTTTCGTTCGATTGTTGTTTGTTGGCCATTTCTTAATTCCAATAAATTTTCAACCTCATATGGATGACTATATCAATCTCTCTCAGCTCCGCTCTTTCTTTCATAGCTGCCACAATCACTTTCGTGCGCCAGAGAGTATTCATGGCTCTCCTTCCTTAATTTGATCATGTACTAAAATAGAAAAGGAAAAAAAAAGTGAAGAAATTAACCAAAAAAACTAATTAACTCCGATTGATACTCAAAGAAAGCAGCACCTTCAGGCGCTTATTGGAGTTAATTAATTTATGAATTTAATAATACTAATAATAATAATAAAGCGTCGACGAGGTTTCTCTTCCATAGTCAACCATAGTTTTGAAACTGAATTGGATTGATCAGTCAGATTAGTTGATCCGGTATCTAATAGTATAAATGATTTGGGTGTATTTTTTAATTCGTTTGAATTATTAAACCATTTGAAATTGATAAGAACAGTTCAAATCAATAAACTGTTTGATTTAATGATTCAATGTTGGGTATAAAGTCAAATATAAAGTCTTGAGAAATTTGTCTCTCATGAGGTTTGAACTTGTAATCTTGAAACCCTTATTTTGATTTTTTGCCACCATAACAATGCAATTTTTGTGTCAATGAATGTTCGAAATTTTATTTATCTAATAAAAATTTCAAAGTTTTTAATTAAATTATTAATGACAATCATGAGATTCGAACACCCATATTCTTTTACTTGAGATACAACCTTCTATTTACAATTTTTTTCTTTACAATATATTGATTCTATTTTTAAAACCATAATTATATTAAAATTTATTATTAAGAGAACTCAACTTGTAATCTTTCTAATAACAAATCAATCACCTATCACTGCATCCAATGAAAATCTTGCGAAATATTTTATATAATAATATATTTATAATATTTTGATCATTTTTAAATTAAATTAATTAAATTATTCAAATCATAAATCCAAAATCAAAATGATTTGACCTTTAATTTGAGTTTTAAAACATTGTTTATAACTTATGGGCGTATAAGATTCTCTCTTTTCTAGGAATCGAGAATTAATGAAGAGTAGCGAGGGGCGAGGCAGGAGGAGGGGGATTCAGACAGGCACTGGAGTTTATAAACAGACAGAAGAGAATTCGAGAAAGAAGAGAAGAAAGATTGTTTGGGATATTATGATGGGTGCATAAGATTCTCCCTCAGTCTTTTCTGTAATCATTGACTCGTGAGCACATGCAATGTGATGGGTCTTGTTTCTGACCGTGACTGTATCTGCACGGAATATACTGCCTTTCACTGCTCAAAGACTGCGCCGAGTTCCTGATTTGTCTTCTCCGTTTCCGTTGTTGACCGATAATCTTGTTTCACAAGTTGTTTGTTAATTCTTTGGTTAAATACTAATGATTTATTAATTTGAATAAAAATAATTTAATTTTAATAAGAAGAGTTTAATTTTTTTAAATAAAATTTTAAATTTTATAAATAAAAAAATAACCATTAAAATTTTTTTATTTTAATAAAATTTAATATGAGTCGACTCTAAATTAGTTAAATTTAATAAAATTTTTAAATATAAAAAATTAATAAAAAAATTTCCCATTAAATAAATAACGAAATATTAAAGAAAAACTTCTTCGTTAATGTCTCTGTCAATATTTTCTTCTCAATATTTAGTGAAAAATCCAAAATCAAATTTTAGACAATTGAAAATTTATTAGACAGATCTCTCTTAAGGGCTGTGTTTGTGGCCTAGTTTCCCAAAAAATTATTCCTGGGAAGTAGAGCTGGGCATGGTATGGTATGGTAACCGTACCGCACTCAAATGATAGTAAAGTTTTTAGTGGTAATGAAAAAGATTTACCACCTCCATACTAATTGATGATTTTTTGGTAGTGGCTGCCAACTGTTTTTAATGGTAATCAAACTTGCTCTACCAATACCATACCATATTACCATCTTTAACTTATTTTCTTCATTATCAATTAATTCAAGTCATTCAAAATTCAATCTTAAAA